AGGAAAGAGTCCTGGGAGAGTGAGATATTTATAATGTCTCCCAAGGTTCCTTGTAACACTTCCCTGGAGGTTTTTACCAACCAGGAACAGCAGGGATCCAAGGAGCAGGTAGTAGGTCGCACAGTTGATAGGACCCTGTCAACATTTGCTTGGGAGACTGGGCTGAAAGAGTCCAAAAATGGACCAGTTTGGGCACACAGGACCCCAAGATTCCTACTGACTCCAGATCTGGCAGCCAAGCCTTGGTGAAGGAATGAGACTTTACCTGAAAAGAATGTTGCAAATGTGGTCATAGCTAATAGCCAAATTTTCATCTACTTTTGGAGCCACGGAAAGGGTGGTCAGTTGCCTAATAACTCTAAACAATATCGCTGGACATGATGCAACAGATACAATGGAGGGAGAAAAGAATGCTTTGCTGCCTTCACTGCCACTTCATAAGCCTTCAGGAGGGCTTTATAAAGTGTTGTTTTGTCAAGGGTTTGTCACCAGCACTGCTCTAGCTTTCTAAGCCCCCTTTTTACAGTCCTTAGTTCATCCGCATACCAAGGATCCAACGTAGTATGGGGGTGAAGAGGGAGCCGATGGGCAACTCAGCTGATGGTCTCTTGAAGGTCCAGATTCCAGGCATCAATGAGTTCATCAAGAGAGCTGCCAGTAGAGCCAGACAAATCCCAGAGAGCGTTCTGGAATCCAATTGGATTCATGAGTCTCCGCGGGAGAACATAAATAAGCTTGCCACCCCTGACGTTCACAAGGTAATGATCAGCCCATGGCACCGATTCACAAAGAACTGCTGAATCCAGATCAATTCTTGCACAAAAGACCAGATCCAGCATGTGGCCTGCTCTGTGTGGGGGCCAGTACAACCTGGGAGAGTCCTAATGATGCCATGACAATCATAAAGTCTAAGAAGGCACCAGACAAGGCAGCATCAACATGGACACTGAAGTCCCCCAAAACTATCAGTTTGAGGAAACACAAGGCCCACTCCGCCACCATCTCAGTCAGCCTCAGCTGGTAAGCTAGGTGGACGGTAAACCAGCAAGACTCCCACCCTCTCCCTGGCACCCCATACCAGGCCTACACATTCAGTGTTGGCGATGTTTGGTGCAGGAGGCTGTTTGAAGGAGAAAAAATTCTCAGATAAAAATTGCCACCCCAACCATCGTCCTCCTTGCGGCTGATGAAGGACTAAGTTTCCAGAGGGAATCAGCTGAGTGAGAGCCACCACTTCATCTTCATCCACTCAGATCTCAGTCAAGCATGCCAGTAGGAGCCCATTTGGGAGTCTTTGGGCCGCCGAATGTCAATTTCGACCCCATTATATCCTATTCACTGTTTGGGTGAAGAAGTACTTCCTTTCATCTGTTCTAACTTCTCACCTGACTGCTCAGCGATTTCATGGAGTGCCCTCGAGTTCTTCTTGTGAGAAAGGGTGAAAAGTACTTCTTTCTTTACCTGCTCTATCCCATGCATAGCCTTGTAAAGCTCTTATCATGTCACTCCTCAGTCATTGTGTCTCAAAGCTAAGATCCCCAAGCGCCTTAACTTTTCTTCACAGGGAAAGTGTCCTCCTCTTATCATTGTAGTTGTCCTTTTCTGCATTTTCTCCAGTGCTATAAATATTCTTTTTTAGGTGTGTGTGATGTGAGTGGTCCAATGCGGTTGCACCATCAATTTATACAGGGCAGGGCCTGTATAAATGTTGTTCCTGTTGGTCTTTTGGAGTTTCTGTGTGGGCACTGTGGCATGCTTGCACTGCCACAGTGCCACTTGTTCTGGAGTGTGCCACTTGTTCTCATGGCAAACAAGCACCTCCCAAGACAGTTCACTTTCCCTGAGATTTTCTGGGAGAGTCTGACTGCTGGGTGCTGCCTGCTTGCCTGCCTTAAGTGCAGCTGGCTGAGTTTCCCCATTGGAAACAATGGAGGTAATGGGGGTAACCTGTTTGGGTGCCCATAGAATTGGGCCCACTGGTCCAATTGCTTTTGGACATGGGGGTTTATGTGGGGAGAGGCTCCCGACACTACCCTGGAAATTTGGAGCCTCTCCCTCAAACCCCCTCTCCCCCCAGAGCCACTAACATCACCATGGGAAAAAAGTACTTTTCTTCCCACCATAGAGAACAATAGAGGGGATGGGGGCAACCTGTTTGGGGGCCAAATGTCAGTAAGCCTCCTGTTTATTTTTGTTGAATGAATGTGACTATTCCTTTAGAAACATTACAGGAATATGAATAAGCATAATCTTTAATCCTCCAGTAATAATCATCATCATGTAAACAACAACAACAAAAATTAAGCCTGCAGATAAGCAGGTTTCTGTTTTTATAAACATTTTACTACTCTCATTTCCCTATACTCAATCCACAAACACTTAACAATCAGAAAATAATGTTCAACTAGCTATGTACACCAATTAAGAGTGGTTAAAGCAAAGTTATAACAGTAGTAAAGGCACTAAAAATGAATACCAAGGAAAACTCATGCAAGTTCCCTGGCAGTGCTGTGTCACAGCTTGAACTTTGCCAGACATCCGCAACACATCTGCCATAATTAACATAGTACTATTTTTAAGCCCGTATTTTTACTGTTATAGGTTTTTCCTTCATCTTTTGCTGCCATTTTATTAATTAAACTAGTTTTCTTTGTTGTCATCAATTTATTAGACCTGTTAGTTCTTAAAACTTCGTAATTCTTTATTACCCAGCTGAACTTGATTTGTTCTGGGTGACCTCTAATTTATGGTCATTGTTTGTTCCTTCATAACTTAGCCAATAAATCAGATCTTCCAAACTTGGTTAAGGTCTCTATTTGCAATGAGACACTTTATACATGATATAAGAGGTTGGAAAAGAGAGAAAAGAACCAGAAACAGCTTGATATATTCCTGTTACATTGTACACATTGTTAAAATGGATTTGACTGAAAAGGCAATTTTGCAGCAGACCTAACAACACTTGACAGGTATTTGCCTTAGCAAAGTAGAGAACATTTGTGTCTGGTATACTCCAGGAGAGCAATTATTATACTGCCATGCAATTTACACAAAAATATGCCTCATGTCCAAAGGCTAGAATAAGAAAATTTGAAAGTGTTGTACTTTGTATCATACAACACTTAGTAAAGCCTATTAAAACCTATTTCTGGTATCCGTTTAATATCTGGGAAACCCAATTTTAAACTAAAACGAAGAAACTTAACAATTCAATCCTAAACAGAGTTACTCCAGTTTAAACTCACTAGGATTGCACAAAATAAACTGTCCCAAAGGCATTCATTGGATTGCACAAAATAAACTGTCCCAAAGGCATCATTACAAAAACATTTAACTGCCAGGAAACTGTACATAATATTCTAGAACTAGGAGTAAGGCCCATGTATTTCCTTCTGCTTAGCTATAAGGCAGGGCTGTCTCAAATCATTTTGCTGCCCCAAGTGGGTATTTATCATTTATTTATTTATATCCTGCCCATCCCGCAAACTGGCTCAGGGCGGGTAACATCATTTGTAATAAATACAGTCAAAATTTAAAGTATAAATAAAACACAATACAATATAAAATATTAAAATTGGTAGTATGGGAGGAGAGCCATATGATAACAGGTATGGTTCAACCCAGCTTATGTTGATTTGGGACTACACAGTACCTCCTTCCTATGCCATGTTTTTTGGATTTCAAGGGTCTGGAAAGCAGTTCCGTAACCAGTTACAGGTTTGCCAACTCTGGGTTGGGAAATACCTGTAGATTTGAGGGGTACAGCCTGGGGAGGGCAGGATTTGGGTTGGAGAGGGACCTCAGGAGGGTATAATGCCATAGAATCCACTGCCCAAAGCAGCCATTTTCTTTTATCCCGCCCTCCCCGGAGGCTCAGGGCGGCTTACAGGGCATATTGCCAGATAAAACCATAAAACAATACAAAATATTAAATTACAGCCCTATTTAAAACAGATTTTGATGCCTAGCAAATTATACAATCTGTACAAATTCTAAAATTTCTAAAAGCAAGATGACTATCCCTGACCATCCCGTTCTCGCCCATAATGCAGCAACTAGATGTGCATGCCCCATCTTGATGTCCATATATGGCAATACTAAGGGGAGGGCCAGGTTTGTTGAAGGACTTCAGTGAGGTATAATGCCATAGAGCTCACCCTCCAACTCAATCATTTTCTCCATGGGGGCTGATCTCTGTAAGCTGGAGATCAATTATAATTCAGAGAGATGTCCAGGTTTTCCCTTTCCCCCCAACCCCTTTCAATTCCAAAGCTGCTTCCTGTTTAACACTTTAACTGATTAATAGTTTAACTGACTCCATGCTAATGTCCTATGGCTTCTTGGGACTCCCAACTTGGGAGGTGTAGTTCTAATTCCCTTTGCTATGGTTGCAGTAAGGCCAGCTGAGAACTATAACTCCCAAGGTGCAACACATCAAACGTGGAGGTGTAAGAATGGAGGAGCTGGCAGGACAAGCCAATAGGACACCAAGACAACTTCCCCAGTGGCCAATGGAAGAGTATTTGCTCCTTTCCTTCAAAACTAGTCCCCCCCCTATATTCTCCATTCCCTCCACCTGCAAACTTTGCTGTTCCATCTCTACCACCTTCAGCCATCAGAAAGAATATGGCTCTCAAGCAACTTTGTCTTTTCTCTAAGACTCCCTTATACAACAGTAGTCTGATGCCATTTTTTCCTTTCTTCAAATGCCCCCTGAGAATCCAGCTTGTCTTTGAGGCCCTGGCTTAACCCCTCAGTCCCAGACACCGACTGAAACTACTCCTGAGTACTTACAACTAAACTTGCACACATTCCTCCCATCACTCTCGCCTGTCTTCCTCTCTTCAGTCTGTTGTTCTCCCCTCTGTCAGAGGTTATCTTGCAAGCTCCTTGAGGCTGCAACCTCTCTTTAAAGTATTACACACATTGATGGTGACATAATGTAAACAACTCACACATCCATCAGACAGGTCATTCAAAAAACAAATAATTACCCTTCATGTGAGTGGCAAAAGTAAGTGCCAGTTTTGCAAACAGATCTGGATTTTCAAATTTTCCTTCTTTAGCTTTCAGCCAAAAACAGTTTTCTGATATATCTGATGGCTCAACCTGAAACAAAAATTAAAGTTGATTACATCATAGGTATCTCATTTATTTTTGTATTTCTATACCGCCCTCCCTTGGAGGGCTCAGGGTGGTGTATAACATAGTCTAAAACACAGTTTCACGGGTAAATATTAAATTTAGTCTAAACCCATTTAAATTAAATCCTAAAAACATTCTAATGGTGTAAGTATTTATTAATTCCTCTTACAGGGGGCAGATCAGGGCCAGATATAATTTATGTATTTATTGTCTTTACTGTTTTTACAACTGGAGTCATAAACAGCAAACCCTCATCCCACAATAAACCTCATTCCACAGGAAAACATGGAAAAATTTAAAGGCTGCTACTGCAGAAGTTGTCATGTGATTTGACAACAGCGGCTAGAAATTTTGCCACATGGAGTGCAGTTTGTTTGTCTTCATCTCTAAGTACCAGGATGATTTTGCTTCTGGAGAGAGGAAGTCTTGATTAAATAAAGGGGAGATCAGTTCATTACTTAGAGCTGAAAGTTTTGAGACAATCAAGCAAAATATGATCCACAGAGTCAGTTTTACTGCTGCCACAATTACAGAGTCGATCTAAGTATGAAATCCCATTAAATCTTCCTGTCATCACAACTGAAGGTTGTAACAGTAAACTGTTGCTATCCTTGACCATAGGCCTGGTGGAACATCTTTGTTTTACAGGACCTGCGGAACTGTCTCAAGTCCTGCAGGACCCAGATGTCACCAGGTAGAGAGTTCCACCAGGCAAGAGCTTGACCTATCCTGGTTAAGGATAGCCAGATATCTTTTGGGTCAGGAACCACCAGTAGATTCTGATCTTCCAAGTGCAAGGCTCTCCAGTGGTTATACCAGGAGAGGCAGTCCTGCAGCTATGCCGGTCCCAGATTGTGTAGGGCTTTATAGGTCAAACAACAACCTTGAAATGTATCCAGAACTCAACTTGGAGCCAATGCAGCTGGTGAAGCACTGGCTGGATATGTGCTGTTGTTGGAATGCTCGTAAGCACCCCCGTAAGCATTTTGGACAAGCTGTAATTTCCGGGTCAGCTTCAAAGGTAGCACCACATAGAGCGAACTGTAGCAATCCAGCCTAGAAGTGACCATTGCATGGATCACTGTGGCTATATCAGGACATAGTGCTACCCACTTGGACTGATGGACAGACTATGGATTTCAATAAGTGAACAAGATAGGGATTATTAAATCAGTATTCCCTAATTACACCCAGGGAATTTGCACATCAGGAACACAAAGCCAAAGAAAATACTTCCTATTTTCCTTTTTAAACAAATTAGAGGAGAATGAGTTAAAAAGAATTCCTTTCTCCCACCCAAATACACTAAACTGAGAGAAAGTCTGTTCCAAAAGATTCTCATTACTATTGTTTGCCTTATTTGCACTTCAGAATCTAGTTCAGTACACTGGATTTGTGTTGCTATATTGTACAATAATTTCATGTGTAGATAAAATGAAGATCTATTCAGATGTATTTCCTCTGGTCATGTCCAATAAGGTAATAACAAACGGTGTTTACACATCAGAATTGTAATTCTGACAGAATGTTAAGTGTACTGTATTATGCTGTGCATCCATAATGCACATCAACCTCAGAAAGGATTATCTTCAAAACTTTCATTAGATGAAATTCCTATCCTGAACTTATATAAAATCATGCACATAAAATGAGCTTCCTACTGCTCAGCTACCAGAGTAGAATGAATAGTAATAAACCTATTCATAAATGGGAACCTAAATCAATGAAGTGACGCTCAGAATAGCAAACATATTCATACAAAGCTTGCAAGAACAGATGCTTCATAATACCCAAAGAGGAAAATTTCTGCAGTTTATATTTCACAGAGGCAAAACATGTGTGAAACGGGTTCTTAGATGAAATCAAAGTTAGTAAAACCATGAACACACACAACTGCTGAAACACACATATGACTGGCTGTGATGTGCTGGAAGAAGGCTGGCTTACTAGACATGCATATTTCATTATGTAAGCATAGTCTTATGGAAATGATGCAGTCACATTGCCGATCCCACTTTACATGTTTACATTTACACCACTTTCCACTGCAGTTACAATTCTAGGTAGTAAAAATACATATTGATTTTAAAAACATAATTCTTAAGCCTCAATAAAATAGCACAGATTTAATTCCAACACTTTCATAATCAAACCAAAATCCTCACTCCCCCTCTGTTCAGAATGGAACAAAAATGTGTTTAGCATTTTTATACCTTTGCCCAGTTAATTCTCTTCATAGACACTTCAGGGGTGTACTTTTTCTTCTGTTTCATTCCAAAAGGCAATGCTGGTGCAGCTGCTGGTGGAGGAGGAATGCCACCCAAAGGAGGAGGAGGAGGAGGTGGACCTCCAAACATAGGTGGTGGTGGTGGAGGAGGAGGTGGCGCTGAACACCCTCCAGGCAAAGGAGGCGGCGGAGGTGGAGGAGGTGGAACTGGGAGTACACCACCTGGAAGAGGAGGTGGAGGAGGCGGTGGAGGTGGTACCCCCATAGGAGAGGGGCCACTTGAAGACACAGCAGCCTGCAAAAGAAAGCCATTTTTTAAAAATGCAAAGAAAAATGTTGGTCACAGAAAGACAGAGATCTCTAGTATATTCTCGTTCAAATGACAGTCTTAAGAAATTACACATTTCAGATCTCCCAATACATCCAAGTAAGCGAAATCATTGAAATGTGTTCTATTACATATCACTGAAGGACTTCACCAAGATTAAACCCATAATGAGAGAATACAGCCTTATACCATGGGAAAAAATCCATTTTGAAATCAGTATGAGTCATTTAACAGGAATAGGTTATATTTTTGGCACTGCATTACAGTGAGAAGCAGCTAGTGCCATATGTAACTTCTGTATGAATTTCTTCAGATTAAAATAGATCAAGAGAATTAATGAAGTGACATTTGAAAACAAGAAAAAAGGTCCATTAACAAAATACATTCCAGGAGTTTAAGATATTTTTATCTATGTGGTATTCATAGAACTGTTAAAAGGAACCCAATTGGCTGAAACCAAATTATCATCATAAGGTTGCCATATTTAAATATTCACTACTGCACAAAATCCATCTTCTAAATGATGTTAACTGTACGGACTGGGAAATTAGGATGAAGACTTGGATCTTGGCTGTGTTTCTTAATAAGGCTACTGGCAAGATAACACTAGGGAAATTCATTATCTCTATCCGCTTTCAGGAGAACCCTACGAAGACTTTTGGAGCCTTGGACAAAGTACCAGCATGTACTTTGTGGCACCACTGGCATAAAACCCATAACCATAATCAAAAGAGCTTGACTTTGCAGACTAACCAATGGCTAAACTTTTAAGCTTTCACTTTCAAACAGTTGCATTTTAAACAATGCAACAGACTTGAGTCCATTATGCAGTTCTCTCCTTTTTAACAGAGAACCACAGCCAGTTTACAGGGCAGCATCTATATAAAAAAGGCCAATTTATTGTTGCACAAGCTTTCATGGCTAGAGCCCACTTACTTCATCAGATCAGCGGGACCTAGTCTACAAAACCTTATGCCACAATAAATTAATCTTTAGTGAGTGAAGACTCTCTCTCTCTCTCTCTCTCTCTCTCTCTCTCTCTCTCTCTCTCTCTCTGTGTGTGTGTGTGTGTGTGTGTGTGTGTGTGTGTGTGTGTTGCTGCTGTTATAGCTAACAGGGATGGGCATGAACCTAAAAAAGGCCCCGAACCAAACACTGACCCGAACAGGCCCACCCAAACCAAATTGGTCCAGCACGTTTGGTTCCCCATTTCTCCCTGCTCCAACGAGGGGGTGGGGATTGCCCTGGAAGGGACTTCCCTTCCACCTTTCTCCTGACTGTGGCGAGCTGCAGCCAGAAGAAAGGGGGGATCGCCCGGGAAAGGACTTCCTTTCTCCCTTCCTCCTGGCCATGGCTTGCCACAGCTGTGAGAAAAGGGGCAGGGATCGCCCAGGAAGAGGCTTCATTTAACCCTTTGGTTCTGCTCCCCCCTTCAAAGGGGGGAGCATAACTGAAGGATTAAATGGCTGCCAACCATTTAAACCTAACAACTGGCCCTGAACAGCTGAACACAACTGGCCAAAAGTCTAGTAAACATCAGTTCCCAAGCTCTAAACTGGCCCAAGTTCGACCCAAATTTTGGCTTGTGAGCCGGTTCGTGCCCACCACCACCACCACCATTACTCCACCCCAGAATTTATGGCTAGGTGACATCATCTCTTCTCAATCCTGTATGGTAAGTAACATTTTATTGGTACCAAACAAATGCTAGCTAATGGTGGCATTAAAATAATCCAGCACCATAGAAATGTTAAGTGAGCCTTAACAGCCTTTTAGAGACACTGAACCAAATGCAAAGTGTTAAATTTATAGTCAATACAATATTCTTTTATACAATGACCCTTTCAAAGGCAGTTACACCAAGCAATCTAACACGCACATTAAAACATGAATGTTTTCCGAATCAAATGCATATATAGTGTTGACAGTTGCATACAGAAAATCTTCAAAGCATCAGTGTCTTTTTATGTCTGAGTTTCATTCGGATGCCATGTCACCCAAATCATCAGTTTTGGCATTCTACTACCACAGATGTGGTAATATGGTGTGCCAAGCAGCATAAATCCATAAAAAGCATTTCCAATCAAATAAACATATCTGCATGATTTTTTCCCTTTCCACCAATCACTCCAAATCAGAGGCCTTTGGTAGCCCTGAAGAGCATGCCCGCACGCACACACCTTGCCCCCATTCATTTACAAAGAAGGAATAGATGACCAAGTGCTCGAGGATCTGCTCTCTCTGTACAAGCACCCAGGAGTCGACTACCAAAAAAAATCTGCCAAGTCAAGTCTATTGAAATGATCAGCCCTTACAGAACAAGATCCATGTGCACAACACAATTTCTGTGCCTTTACTTTGTAGCTTGGGTTGTGTTTTTTGTTTCTTTGTTTTTAATACTGAGTCTGATTGTGGTTTTTGCCAATCCTGATGTATCCTAGGCATAAAAAGGTAGCAGTGTGCAATGGCAAGTGTGTGAGAGAGAAGCAACATGCCTCACTTAAAACAATGAAATATTATTTCTCCTGCCACACATCCTTCACACAGGGTTGGCACTTTCCCTTTTCATTCCAACAAAATTCTTTAATCCCCGCCAGCCAGCCAGCCACACCAAACAAACAAACAGAACCAATTTTGATAGGCTATAAAGTCAATTTTGTTACTTTACCTGGCTTCGTAGCTGCTGGATTTCAGTTTCAAGCTCTTTAATTCTCTCTTCTCGTTTTTGAAGCTCAGCTTGTGCCTCCTGTCGAGCTGTGAACTCTTCATCAAACTGCAATGATCGCCAACATAGAAACATTCATCCATCTTTGTCCAAACTGTATACCAACTTTCACAGGGGTGATACAGAAATTGAATAAAGTAATAGAAGCCTGTTATGCTTCCTAGACTAGCCAAATAATGTTTTTTTCTTCCATTTTTCCTGAGCTATGAACATTTACAACAGTAAAAACCTTTAATCAGCTACGGTCACATTCCTGTAAACTTGCAGGTGTCTAAAACTTAACTTTCTTTCAGACTTACAGTATTTTAAAGACCTTTTCCATAGACGAAAATGGACATCCTACATCTAACATTTAACAATTTTACAGAGGGTATATTTGTTTGTACTTAGCTCAGAGACATTTGGGACACAATACAAAAGACTATATGCTTAAAAAGAGTTCCCAGTTAGAAAGCTTTATAAGCACAGAAAACTTCATCCTTATCTGTGCTGCAATCTTGTACAAAAGTGCAACTGCTTGAAGGTAAAGGATTTGTACAGAACCTTCCAAAAGGTTCCAGATTTTGTTTGTACACAGTGGGAAAAATTGTGTATAGCTATTGTCACAACCTGCCTCTGTCTTTGGGTGACCCCCACCATTGCTGTCACAAAGGCAGCCCTGCTCCCTACCCACAGAGACTGCCCAAGGTCTCAGATGCATCAAGGGAGGGGCGGTTACATCACTGCACCCTCTCCTTCAGCTGGTTCATGCTCCCCCCTTCTTTCTGGTCCTTCTGAGCACCAGCCTCTCTCTCCTCTCTGACATGTTGAGACTGCCTCCTTATATACCCCTTTGGTTCCTTTTCCCCACCCCTGTGTCAGGACAAACTGTTGTTGACTGGCTACTCTGATGTTATTCAGCACGGCCGTCAGGCTGTGCTGCTCTTCTTTGCAGCTGAGTGGGCCAAAGTGCTTCCTTGCATTGGGCCCGTCGCACCTGGGTGAGGACTTGCCTCTTCCTCCTGCATCCTGATCGGCTGGGTAGACCTGCCAGACCCGGACTCTGCTGGCTGCTCACTCTTCCCAGGTGCGGGGCCTTGCCCTGCTTTGCCAACCTCTGGGACTTCCCTTACCATCTGCCTCAGCAGGACGGAAGGAGGGAGCTTGGCTGTCAGCGTCTCCCCGCTGGCATCCTGGAGCCTGCAGCCACTGGCTCCATACTGTGGTGCTGGGGGGGGGGCACTATCAGAGAAAGGTAAAACAGATTACTTTTAATATCCCAACCCGGAGCCTGATAATCTAGTAATGCATGGCATGGCATGAATGATCAAAGGCAGCCTTGGCATGAACGGGGTAACTCAGTCCCCCAGTACCAGATTGGTCACCTAGAATTCTTCCCTAGTGGGGAGGAAAGAGTTAAATGTTCAGCTCACCTGTGGTGCTGGGGGGGGGGGGAAGCCGTGGACGGTCAGGAGGGATCTGAGTTTGGTGTGACAGGACCACTATATCCTATGTGTATATACACAGATATAATCTTTTGTTGTCCATAAATTGAAATTGTCACAGATGTGGTGCATGTTCTTGCAACTTCTGTTTCTCAGGTTCATATTTTAATTTAGTTCAAGAGAATGAGAACAGAATATTTAAAAGTGTAAGGCCCACATCCTATGATTGGTCTGTAAGAGTGTTTATTTAGCAATAAAGAATTTTTCTCTTGTAAAGATCGCAGACTGTTGTTAAACCTCCATGAAAGGATGCCAAACACCTAGCCAGGCTAGACTAGGGCTGGGAGGAAAGAGCATTGTTACTTCCTACATGCACAACGTGCATGGCATGGCATGAATGGTCAAAGGCAGCCTTGGCATGAACAGGGTAACTCAGTCCCCCAGTACCAGATGGGTCACCTAGAATTCTTCCCTAGTGGGGAGGAAAGAGTTAAATGTTCAGCTCACTCAGGGTAAATGCAACAAGTTCAGAGGAACAGAGAGCAACAGAGAAAGCCTGCACAAATGTTTTTGCTTAGTGTTCCTGCTGGCTTGCATCCATTTCTCACAAAGGAATGCCAAAGTAACTCAGTAATTCAGTGTGATTTGGACAGACTTTAAAAAAAATCTTTTATTTTCCTGTACTCGGTATCACCTTTTCTTAGTCTGTAAGAGTGTTTATTTAACAATAAAGAATTTTTCTCTTGTAAAGATTGCAGACTGTTGTTAAACCTCCATGCAAGGATGCCAAACACCTAGCCAGGCTAGACTAGGGCTGGGAGGAAAGAGAATTGTTACTTCCTACATGCACAACACACTGAAAACCCCACTTCCAGATAAACAGACCACTGGAGGTGTTAGGGGGTATGCACAAGGGTCTGACTGGTGGCAATTTATGGGAAAGATTAAAAAATAGGGGGGTTAGGGTTCTTCACAAGTCCATTCAGACCTTCTGACATGAGCTGACATCCCAGGCTCTGGGTTGCTCATAACCTGGAACCTAGGGAAGGCAGAGGAATTGTAGGATTAAGACAGCATAATTATCAGCTTTTGAGAAAAAGGTGATCTGAGAATGTAGTGGCACTTCAGGTATTTTAGCGATGAAACAAATTATCTAGATTCCTTTAAAAAATGGCATTCTGGAATGGAATCGAAACCCCCTGCATCACTCTGGCAGACTGTCCACACCAATCAGCCAATGGGGAGGGTTTCAGGGATTTTTTGTGTGTGTGTTTTTTTTTAACAGCTTTCCTTGTTATCAGCCATTGTATACTTCTGAGTTGAAAGGCTAAGACAGGTTGGCACCGGCACTGTTTCTACTTTATTCTGGTAATGAAGCAGTTCTACTTCATTCTGGTAATGAGGTCCCACAAGGTGATCCTAGGGGACTACTCTTCCATCTCTCAACCATCAGCTTATGATGAACCTCAGGATTCTACCCTATTTCCTATTCTGCTAAATATCCACATGGAACTGCTGGAGGAGATTATCAAGTGATATGGGGCGGGTTGTTATCAATGTGCTAACGACACCCAACCTTGTACCTTTGAGAAACAAAGCCTACTTGTGAAAGGTGCAAGAGGGTAGAAAGACAGGCACCAAAAATGGCGTTCTGGAATGGAATCGAAACTACCTGCATCACTCTGGCAGACTGTCCATACCAATCAGCCAATGGGGAGGGTTCCAGGGTTTTTTGTGTGTTTTTTTCCTTGTTATCAGCCATTGTATACTTCTGAGTTGGCAGGCTAACACAGGTTGGCACCAGCACTGTTTCTACTTCATTCTGGTAATGAAGCAGTTATACTTCATTCTGGTAATGAGGTCCCACAAGGTGATCCTAGGGGACTACTCTTCCATCTTTCAACCACCAGCTTATGATGAACCTCAGGATTCTACCCTACTTCCTATTCTGCTAAATATCCACATGAAACTGCTGGAGGAGATTATCAAGTGATAGGGGGCGGTTTGTTATCAATATGCTAACGCCATCCAACCTTGTACCTTTGAGAAACAAAGCCTACTTGTGAAAGGTGCAAGAGGGTAGAAAGACAGGCACCAAGATAAATTTTCAGAGATGTTTTAATACCCATGTTTCACAGGCTTACTAATGTGAGGTAATTGCTTTGTAGTTAAGGGAAGTTCTGTTCCTTCCTTTATTTTTCCAGTCAGATTATGCAATATTGGAATTACTTCTGCTTGTATGAACCTCTGCCATTGGCTGCATAGCCATCCAATCCTGATGCTTTTCCAAAATTCTTTTTAATCATGTGTTCTATCATGAGAAAAAATGGATATTGGGGTTGCCAAAGGTGATGCCTCTTCCCAGATATTATTTCCAAAACATTGTTTTTAATGGTTTGTTGTTGTTGTATACTGCTTATTTCTGGAGGTATTCAACACAGTTTTGCTTGATCCAGGTGGGTAGACATGCTGATCGGAAGCAGTAGAACAAAATTTGAGTCCAGTGGCATCTTTAAGACCAACAAAGTTTTATTCAAGGTATGAGCTTTTGTGTGCACACACAACTCCTCAGACACAAAGTCTGCATGCACACAAAAGTGCATACCTTGAATAAAACTTTGTGGTCTTAAAGGTGCCACTGGACTCAAACTCTGTTCTACAGTTTTGTTTGTTCAGTTGATTTTTGTGCTTGAAATACTTGTACCTGTTTTTATTGGCTTGTTTCAATACTTTATATGTGCATAGGTTTAAACTGATGTGATTAATGTGTTTCCTCTCATTACTGTAAGATGCCTTGGGTGCTTTTTTTAACAAAAGAAGAAAGGAAAGATGTATTTTTCCAAATAAAGGAACAAAATAAGTGTTCCAATTTGAACTTCCATTTACAAGTATTACTTCCATGTAATTCAAATTTAAACTGTAAACCCACTTAACATAATTTATATAGATTAAATTTAACCCATTTTCAAAAATGTTATATGTATTTCAAAATTCTCCTTACCTTCCCATCAGTTCCAAATAATTCCATAGAGATATGTTGTTTTCCTGTATCCTACACGATGGTGTAGGACAGAAGGGCTCAAATTTGTTGGGCACTGGGATGCTTTTTGGAACAAGAGGGAGCTATACAAAAGAGACGGTCTCCACTTGTCCCGAGAAGGAACCAGGCTGCTGGCACTCAAAATCAAAAAGGTGGCAGAGCAGTTTTTAAACTGAATATTGGGGGAAAGCCGACAAGAGATTAAAAGTCTCTGGTTCAAGATGGCTCATCTCAAAGAGATGAAGGGGTAGCTGTTACTTTTCTACAAGGAATTGGATTAGAATTGTCCACTTAGACTGTGGCAAATGATATGTACTGCCTGGCAAGGTCTCGAGGCAGCAAGAGGAAGGTTGTGGGCTTAACATGCATAGGAAACTATGGGTGTTTAAACAAAAATGCTAGAAGTGTCCAAGGTAAAATCGGGGAATTGGAATGCTTGGTGTTGGGAGGAAAAATAGGCATTATGGGTATTTCAAACTTGATGGGATGAGGAAAATCAATGGGATATGGGGATTCCTGGTTATAAATTATATCGGAAGGATGGGGGGGGGATGGAGGTGGGGTGGCTCTGTATGTCAGAGAGGGTATACAGTCCAGTAAGACTGAGAGTGAAAGAGAATTGGATTCGCTTCTGGAAATGCTATGGGTTGAAATAGTGGGCTCAACAGGAAACTTAACACTGGGAGTTTGTTATTGCCTACCAGATCAAAAGACAGAGGAGGATTATAAAATGATGAATGACTTAAAGATAGCGGCTAGACAAAATAATTGTGTCATAATAGGTGATTTTAACTACCCAAACATTGATTGGGTCAGTATGTATTCAAGTCGAGAAAAAGAGATTGCATTTCTAGACATTCTC